ACACACACACACACACACACCCATTGAACCACAGCTTATGATATATTAGATCCCTCTGGTAAAAATTTTATAGTTTTTAAGCTACATACACGCAAGTAATTTGGGGGGAAAAAAGATATTGTTCCCTGGTCCAACTTATTTGATCTTCCCAATATTCTAGGGAAATTACTATAGAACTCGGCATCTTTAAGATAACTAACCGCAAACTAGTAGATACGGGTGACTGAAAAGCAGAATTTTTCTAAAGTGTTACATCCCTTCAAGGAATTATATGACTCTCTTGTGTAATCAATTGACTTAACAGTTTGCTTTACGATTTTATTCTGTGAAAATAACCTTAAAACCTTCTACCGAATTATTACTTCTCTTTATCATCTGATGAAATGTTTCTGTGCAATTTGTACAAATCTGATACATGCAAAAGGTAGCAAAGTAAACCTGACACTTCTTCACTGTCATTGCTCTGTACTGAGAAACATGTCATTTTCAATGTACAGTCATTTTCCTTGAAGTGCTCAGAACATTGAGTGCTACTTTTTAAAAAGGAGTACCTGCTTACCTGTTTGCTAAGGCACACAGGTATCTGGTAACTCTAACGAGTTAAGTGACTTTCAACTTGCTACTATACCAATAATAAGGCTATCTTACAGCTTTGGAAGGTAACTATGTCAAATCACCACTACACCTTAAATACAGAAGACAGTGGCAACATGATTCATTTAACAGATTTTTTTTTTTTTTGGTATGTGTGTTTACATTACTGACAAAGAGCCGTATTTATTTAATGGTGCAAGGAGTCAAACAACTCTTGCCCCTGCTGGAAGCATCTTGTGTGCATGTAAAGGTGAATACATGCATGGATGTATCCACCTTTTAAAATCACGATAATATATGCTCATGGTAAAAAAAATCAAACTGTAGAGAAGTTGTAATGAAAAGCAACAGAACCTCACCCAACTCTCCACTTTGAGTCATACTTCTCAGAAACAACCATTTATAAGCTGGTTTTCCAATGGCATTTCCCTAATTCTGAATAGTATTTTGAACCACTAGATCTTACAGTAGATCTATTGTATCTATCTATTGACTGCCTCCTTTGAAATATGAATATTTGGTTCATATCCATTCTCTTCAATTCTCGCTTCCAGATTTTTAATTGATTTTATTTTAGTTTCCCTGTTACTGTTAGATCTTTATAGAGTACATGCAAACCTTGGTTTCTGATCCCATCAATTTTAGGTAGTGTCTCCTTATGCTCAAAATATGTAAAATAATGTTGGATAAAATGTACTTGCTATTTATTATGTTCCAGACACTTCTTTAGGCTTTTTACAGGAATAATTTTACTGAATTTTTTTTTAAAGAGATTGTTGCTATAGGATGTGTATGCTTGCTGGAGAGACAGAGAGAGACAGAGGGAAATAAGTTGCTGGAGAGACAGAGAGAGACAGAGAGACAGAAAGTGAGAAATCACCCGCCAGGGGGATTGCCATGCCACAATCCCTTCTCTGACATTCTTCTCTCAGGATTTTGGGCATGCACACACACATACCTGGTGTGAGTTTAAGTCACCAGGTCCAGGACTCAAACTGCAGTCGACTATGTAGGAGTCCAGTGATGTAACCATTATGCCATCTGCTAGTCCTGATTTTACTGAGTTTTTATAGCAAAACTATGAAATATCATTCCTAATTCACAGACGAGAAGACTAAGGGCAGTAAGATGGGGATAACCTGCCTAAGGTGACAAGGCAGGTAGGGTGACAGGGATTCAAGAGCAGGTAATCTGAATCTGGACCCACGAAGCTCTGCGCCCATGATGGCAGAAGTGTCCCAGTGACCCTCTACCCCTCCTCTACTACTCCCCCACCTATCAACTACATCTGTATTTTTACAGTGTCAAGATAGGTAATATTTAGTTTATCATATAATCATTTAAATCTGTTTTTGTTTGTTTGTTTGTTTTAGGGGTCAATTCCAGAGGTTGAAAATTGTATTGTGGCTACGTAAATATTCCCAGCAGAACCAAGAAGGTATCATGATTACATTTTCTTCTCTACCTCTTCAACATGCCTGGTGTGAGTTTTAAGCTGCCAGATCTGGGACTTGAACTGTAGTCGACTACATGGGAGTCTAGTCACATAGCTATTATGCCATCTGCTAGTCCCAATGACAGAGTCTTTTAATGTCCTTTATTTGTAACCACTCTAAACTCAGAAGATATCTGTTACAAGTTCCATGTCTCATGTCTGACTTCACACACTGAATCAGTTGCTAATAGCTGCCTTCTATTTTGGTGGCTGTTTGATATTGCCTGATCCTCAGATAATTTTATCCCAATCAGCAGGCTCAGTTTCACTGATAAAAAGGCAAGTTTGTACGTGTATTGTAAGAGCTCACATTTTATTGAGACACAGCACATGAATGACAATGCCTTGTCAACTAAAGAACTTAATGGTATTATCGTTTTATAAAGATTGCTTTAGTCTCCTATTTATGAGAGTGATTTCCTGATTCATGCTAAGAATCACAATACACCTTAGCTAACAAATCATACCCGTGTTTTAGAAAGGAATGCTTTGGCAAGTTTATTTTAATCACGAAACATACTGGGCAAAATTACTGTAGGGTAAGTGCAACAGAATTCCCACAGGATGTTGCCTCTGTCCTACTGTCACAGTGGAAATGTTAAGGACACAAACTCTGAAATTCAATGGCCTGGGTTAAAATACTGGGTCATACACTTAGTTCAGTTAGTCATTTAAGTCCTGTTGTGTCTGGTCTTTCACTTATAGAATGGGGACAAATAAAGTGCATACCTTGAAACAGCAATCCTCATTTTTGGCACCAGGAGCTGGTTTCATGGAAGACGATTTTCTCCATGGACCAGGGGTGGAAGTAGAGTGGAATTATGGTTTAACAGAGTGCTCAACCAAGACTTCTTTCCTGCATAGTTCACAATATGGTTTGTGTTCCTGTGAGAATCTAGGATCTTAGGCAGTAATGTGAGTGATGGGGAGTGGCTGTAAATACAGATGAATCTTTGCTCGCATGACCACCCACTGCTCACCTCTTGCTGTGTGGCCTAATTCCTAATAGGCCATGGACTGGTACCAGTTTGGCAGGTACTAACTAATTGGTCAATATATATTAGCCATTATTATTATGGAGGGTGGCCATTATTACCCACAGCAACAGAGGAAACATTGCCGAACTAGATTAAAATTTTTGGAATTATCTTCCAGTATCTTTGGAGCTGATGATGAAACTTGAGACTATTCCCATGAAATTACAAATGAGAATCAGTCAAAAGCCACTTATATTTTTCACCTAGTTTGCATTTAGATCTATTGGGGCTCATGTTACACTTCAGAAACTCTCATTAGGCCAGTTTGTTCTGGGTTTGGCTGTAGACTTTTTGGAGGTTGCCTTAATGAAGTGTGTATCTGTGTGTTCATTATTTCTGTGACATCAAGATGCTCATGGGGAAAACTTATGCTGATGCCAGCTGGTCCTGGAAGTTGCAGCAGGGATGAGCTTCATAGAGCTCATGGTCATTGCCCCTTTCTCAAATCTCCTTTCTTGTGAAGCAATTGAATGCCCTACTAGTGGGAATTTATGAAAGGATTTGTAGCTATTCAAAGAATTGTTAAGAGGGCTGTAGAAACAGACTTAGATACTTCAAGAAGAACAACACCTACATTTTAGCCACAGACTCAGAAGGTCAAGATCTTGACCTTGCAAAGAGTGTTCTTCAGTAGTTACTCAATTGCAAAAAAAAGAAAGAAAGAAGAAAGAAGAAAAAGAAAGAAAGAAAGAAAGAAAGAAAGAAAGAAAGAAAGAAAGAAAGAAAGAAAGGAAGGAAGGAAGGAAGAAAGAAAGAGAGGAGAAGAAAAAGAGAGGAAACAACTGCATACTTACTTATAATTCCTCACTTGTGAATCAAAACTACACGTTAGTGCATCAGATTGGCAGAGCTGGGTCATATGTCTGCAGTTTAGCTATAATTGAAGCTGAGAATTTGAGTCTTATTTCTCTGGGGCAGTGGGACTGAAAAAGTGTGGCAATCATTCAGAAGATTATAAATAGCCACCAAATTACAAATGTCCAATAGATTCTTCTACTTCTTTCTATCCCACTCCCCTGGATTCTAGTCAAGTCCTTTTTATGGAGATCTTCCATAAACTGCCTCTTACTCAAGAAAACCTTCCATGACTCCTTAGACTTGGCTGGATTACCAGATTGTAATATTATAAAGGAAGCAGCTGTGTCTGTTTAGTGCTATTCTTTCTCTGTAAATCCTATCTTCTACCACAACCAAAATCAACCGCCATCACATGGACCATCTTACAATTAGGACATGTGAAATTCTACCATACTGGAAGGCAGTATAGACTTGGGGGCTGTATTTTCAGCTCAACATAATGCCAAACACAAAATGGAATGCCATTCTATGTTGAGTAACTAACCTATAGCCTGGCTCAATGCTTAGAACAAGCAATAGACTAGCCATTCTTTTATAACAGTTGGACTGTATTTCAAATAGTGTGTGTAAAAATCTCCCTCAAACTTTAACACAGCCCTCTTTGACTTTACTGATTTTATGAGGCTGTGGTCAACAAGTCGGAGTCACAGAAGCTAGCCCAAACTGATAATGCCGCCAATACTACCAGGCTTACTTAAAAGTGGATGAAGCACTTTCACATATACCATGTCATTGATCCTCAGAACAGTTCTGTTCAGAAATTGGAGGAGGAGTTATCTCCTTTTACAGACGAGAAAATAAAGGTTAAGGTTAAGGGATGTGGCAGGTTCCTAACAGTGACTACAGGAAATGCCAAGGCAGGATCTGTCATTCTTCACTTTACTGTGCTACTATCATGATGAAAAGCACAACTTGTCCCAATTCTGGAAAGATATGGGCAGAGAACCCCGTACGATAGAGGAGAATGTTCCTCTTTGGTTCAGCCAATCTAGTGTCACAGAATGAATAATCTCAAAGCCTGAGTCAGTGCTCTGGCCAAGAGAATTGTCCCTCCACTCAACATGCACTTATGGAAGAGCAGACTTTTGGGAGTGTGATGCTGGACACTGGTCTGCTTGGGCCCGGATTCTCTGAGGGATTGTTTTGGTCCATGTAGAAAGGCAGCCTGCTGACAGTCCCACACACAACAACAAGAATGCTACTACATGCCTAGAGACCTAATTTAGCAAACATCATAGGATGCTCAATTGCCAGCCACTGAGAGTACAAAGATGAAGAAAACATACTTGCTGCCCACTGTGTGTGTGTGTGTGTGTGTGTGTGTGTGTGTGTGTCCCTAAGATGTGGTCTGGTCTAACACAAGCTTCATCTTTTTCATTTGGAATCACTGGTTGTTTAACTCAAATATTTATTTATTTATTTATTTTTAATTGCCAGGAGGCAAGTGCATTTGCCAGAGAGAAAGGGAAAGAAAGCATGCTGCAATTCTTCCTAATTTCTCCAATCTGTTGGCATTTTGAGCATGCATGCACATATGCCTGGCATATTTTCCAAGCATCCAGGGCTCAGATTTGAACCATGATTGGCCATGTTGGACCTGGCTCCCTTAACCAGTAGGCTATGGGGCCAGCCCAACCTGTATCATGTTCTGAAGGAATAACCTTCTGAGTCTTGTTTCTTGTAACTCTTTTGTAGCCGATGCCATTAATTTGGGTAAGCCTATGATCCAAGGGTGTTTTTTAGACATGATGAGAATACTTTGGTGGTGTTCCACATTGTTAATCTTTGTTTTCCCACTTTTATTCCCTTGTTGGTCTTCTATTCTGCACACTAAATATTAGGTTTAGTGACTATTTATTTGCATACCATGATTAATCTAACCTAGGGGGTTCTTTGCATCCTATCAAGGCAGAAGGATAACAGGTGAAATGCAGGTAGGTTCTGGTGGGACACTGTCAGGCACTACAAATCCAGTTAACTCTATTACTGAAGACAAATACTGGCATCTACATTTAAGACTCAGAGAAATCTCTGAGAAATACTTGCTATTCTTTGCCATAAATATCCAAGTTGAATGGCTGTCATTGATCAAGATGCAAAGTTATTAGGTGCAATTAAGTGGAGAAGAGATTTACAGTTTCCAATAGGAGTTCAATATTTACTGTAACTGAATTATTCAATTCTCATATCAACTTTCATCATGGCTTAAAAGCAAAAACTTCTGGTAGAATATACACTTTTGGCTCCTTCCCACTCTAGCATGTTGTTTCTTCCTCTCGCTTTCACAAATTCCCACCTTACCCTGGCTGTATCAGCAGCTCCCAACCTTTCTGGAATCAGGGACTGGTTTTGTGGAAGATATTTTTCCATGGATGGGGAGGGGTGATTGATGACAGCATGCAACCTCCAGCCTTCACATGCGCAGTTCAGAGTAGAGTTCATGCTCTTATGAGAAGGTGATGCCACCACTGATCTGACAGGGGACAGAACTCAGGTGGTAATACAAGTGATGGGGAGTGGCTGTAACTACAGATGAAACTTTGCTTACTTATTGGTCACTCATCTCCTGCTATACGTCCTGGTTCCTAACAGGTCACAAACTGGTACTGGTCCATAACCTGGGATTTAGGGACCTCTGTGCCATATGACCCATCTTAAACACATAAAAGTTTATCCTTCAGACTTGATTTTTAGTATTTTCCTTTTGGCCTTACTTATTTCCTTCAATATTCTCCATCCTGGCCCTTAGAGTCCCATTATCTAGACCAGGACCTAAAATATTTATACTGGGGCCAGCAGGTGGCACGGTGGTTAAGGTGCTGGAAACCCACAGGACTGACCACAGTTCGTGTCCCTGACTTGGTGGCTTGCTTTCTGGCTTTCTCTCTCTATCTCTTTCTGGTGAGTGACATGCCCTACAGCAAAATTTAAAATAATAATAATAATAACAGAAATTAAATAAATAATCCTTTAAAAATATTTTTACTTAGGGTTAAAATAGACTGAGTGTATATCACACTTTCTTACTCAACTGCATCCTTAAAATTTAAGGTTATTTTGAACTAATGGCAGTGATTGCTATGGTTCTATCCTTAATCAAAAACAAAAAGAAGGGGCTAACAGGTTGTGTGGAGGTAAGGTGCTAGATCCCACATGGGTGGCTACACAGTTGAGTCCTAGTGGCTTGAAAATTATGCCAGGCACATGTGCATGTGTGCCCAAAAATCCTGAGAGAAGACTGGAGGAGAAAGGATTGTGACATAGCTACTCCTTCCCACCCCACCTCCCGAGATGATATTTCTCTGGTGACTGTATACACCCTATAGAAAAAAAGGTAATAGGCAAAACATATGCAATTAATTACCGAAGGCTCTAAAAACTGATTGCCTGGGCCAGGCATGTGATATGGTAGTTAAGGCAACTGGATCCCACATGGCTGATGGTGTGGTTTAAGTTCTGGACCTAGAGTCTTGAAAAACATGACGGGTATGTGTGCACGTCTGCCCCAAATCCCAAGAGAATGGAAGAGAAGGAATTTCAGCATGGCCATCCCCCTAGATGGGTGTTTTCTCACTTCTGCTCTCTCTCCAAAGAGTGCATGCATTCTACAGCAAATTCAAAAAACAAACACCAGTGAAAACACCAACACTGATTTCCTGAAATTGAAACTCTTTTCTGTGTTTTTCGGCTATGTAATCTTGGGGAAGTCATTAATTTCTCAATACTCAGTTTCTTCATCTTTAAAATGGGAATGGCAATAACATACCTGCTTCATGGAGCTGCATTAAAAGTATTTCTTATTCCCATTAATTTTTGTTGTTGTAAGTTTATTACATAAAACTATATTAAGTTATCTATCTGCCAGGCATTTTGTGAGATGTTGAGGGTAAAAATGCTCATTTCTAGTTGGGGAAACACTCAAACAAAAAGGTGACAATAAGCTAACCTAATAAGCATGCACTAGGAGTAAGACCCCATGCTTTGAAAGCACACAGCAAGTTAACTTCACTCAGCCCTGGGAAATTGGAAAGGCTTCTGTAAAGGAGTGGCATGATGCTGAGTCCTGAAGGATGAGAAGAAGTTAGCCTAGCAGAGTGGAAATCACTTCCTAAGCAAAGAGAACAGCACATGCAGGGACAGAGGCTGAAGAATGGTTAGGGCTAATTTCACAGAACAGCATGGCCAGTAGTAGAGTGTGATGGTTGGGAAGAGGCATGATGTCAGGAGATCTATAAAGATGGGACTCTAGAGATAGAGCCCAATGAAGGCATCAGGACACAGAAGGACCATGTGGGCACCAGGGCATCTGAAGAGTAGGGGAGGGAAGAGGTGGATGGTGAGCGTCCACAAGGTCCAACAAGAGCAGCAGATGGAGAGCCCAGCAGAAGTGCAAAATGGATAGAACCTGGGGATTCAGATGGGAAAGCCATCAGTATCCACTTGACATGGTATTATATATGGTCTCTTCAGTGTAGATGGAACACCAGGGGAAACTATGGAGTAAGGGAAATGGACTCAACATGGCTAGAAGGTCTGGTTGTGGATCTATGGTCAAAGATTAATAACAGACAGAGGGCATGAGGCCACAGCAGAAGCAACCAGACCTGCAGCAAAGCTGATACGAGTAGCTACTGAGAGCAGTGAACTTGCTCCTTAAATGTCCTTGTCAACAGAATCAGTTCTAGGATATGAGGCAGGCTTAAAACTTGCAGAGTAGGGCAGAGGTTGGTGTCACACCTCTCAAGCCATATTGGACTGAAACATACTGATATTTCAGAAGATTGACAATTCATGCCTTTTCAAACCAATATTCTTCAAATATTTGTTCACAATATGTTTATAGGAAAGGTTGACTGCTGCATGTGAGGAAGGGAGAATTGTCTTTCTTTTACCTCCTCAGCAATTGAGCTGTGACCACCGTCTTTGCCAAAGCTACAGTGAACAAGACCCACTCTTCCCAGACATCTGCACACCTTGAACCTGCTTTTCAAGGCCTCATTTCAATGTCCACCTCAAGGACCTTAATATTGTCCCTCCCAACTCCTTTCAGAGGTCTCCTTGAAAAAACAATTTCAGTGAATATCATTCTTCCCATTTCCCCACAAAAGTTCATTTCCAGTGTCCTTTTAGCTCTGGGTACTATTTAATAATCCATACTGTACATGTGCTAAAGATCGATCAGAATGGCTGCCGCCTTACTTAGCACAGAGTAAGGCCTAGACATGGACCTGGGTCAGGCATTAAACTTTTCATTTCTGCCTGGTGAAGTCTAGAATGGGGTAAGATACTTCTGGAAGTATCAGTGGAGGGACTAGGGGACAAGGATGGTGATCTAGACACTTGTGGGGCTCAAGGAAACTAGCTTGGAAATAGTTCAACATTTTAGGAAATGGAATAATTATATTGGTGCATATCGTTAAGTTGTGTACCTGTTTTTGTTAGTCTGTTATTTCTTCTCTGAGAGAGAGAAAGAGGGTGAGAGACAGGCACCCAAAAGAGCTTCCACGCCACAATCATCCTTCGTCTCAGACAACCCAGATCACAGACACATATGTGTGCCTGGTATGTACAGGGAGGTCCTGGATGCGAACGCAGGACTTCCCCATGTGGGTCTAATTGTCATCACTGTGCTACCATCTGCCCTCTCAGCCCTGGTTTTGACACCTATCAAAGGTGGGCGACCTGAGAACTTACTTCGTTTCCTTATTTCTTAGTCCAGCTCTGGGCTCCGGTGATGGTGAGGGAAGACACAGATAGAAAAGCAGGTAGATTAGTCCATGTGTGACGTGTTAAGTTTATTCTTGGGAAGGAAAACATATACTCACATATACATATGTGTGTGTACATTTGCACAAATGATTAAAGAACTGAGAATCCCCTTCTTTTGCATCTCTCTGTTCTCTTTCACCTACAAGAGCAAGGAACTGTCTTGGGACTAGAATCATCTGACTGTGAACACAGATCTCAGCATTACTCAAGCTGTCTAGCAAGTGGGAGAGAGTTAGATGGATCCAACTTGGCCATAGTTCTCCTGCATTTGCCTCTGTGGTGAGTCAAAGTTTTCAAAATGTCATCACACTTTTCTTTGGAACAAAGTGCCTGGTTTCTGTAAGTCGCAGAAAGGAACAGATAGTCTTTGCCCTAAAATCGCAGGTCCCTGTGTAGTCACTAGGGAAGCTACTCAGGGAGTGTTGATCTGGCTACACTGCTGCTCACCCATCTGGGTTAATTTTTCCTCCAAAGCATTCATAATGCACAATGGTCTCAAGTATGAGAGCTACAATGCATCCTGTGGAAGTAGTTTCGATGTTTTGATAGTATAATTTTTTATAGCTCAATTTTATTGGATATTTTATCACTTTGCAACAATTTGCTTATTTTTTTTTTATGAGGCAGCTGGATCCCACATGGCTCACCATGGGGTTTGAGTCCTAGCTGGGTGGCTTAAGAAACATGCCAAGTGTGTGTGCATGCTTGCCCAAAACCCCATAAGGAGAGAGAAATGGAGAAGGGACTGCAACGTGACCATTCCCCATGAGAGGTGCCTTTTTCTTTCACTCTGTCTCTCTGGCAAACACATGTGCCCCCTAGCAAAAAACCAAACCAAACCAAAACAAAACATTATATATAGTTGGTTGGAAGTAGATTTTCCACAGGTGATAAGGCTTAGCAATGACTATAGTCATTACATATGCTGTCACAATAACGATGATGCAGACATATAGTCTGTTCTCCCATAATGTGTGTTCTTTTAATGCTAGTTAACGCATCCATGACCAGTAAGTAGGAGAATGAAGTCAGAGGAAGTTGTGTGGGTTCATGCACAATTTTCCCCAGCATATTCATGCTTTAAAGCTCTTCAAGTCAAGCTTTTAGGCCAGCCAGTGACATGGTGGTTAAAGTGGCTGGATCCCACATGGCATGGTTAGAGTCCTGCACCCAGAAGCTTGAAAAACATGCAGAGTGTGTGTGCATGCATGCCCCAAATCCCTAGAGGAGACTGGAGTAGAGGGAATTGCAGCATGGCCATCCCCCCTGTGGGTAATTTCTCTCTCTCTCTCTTTCTTTCTCTTTCTCCCACCAGAGAGTACTCATGCCCTATAGCAAAAACAAAAAACAGCACTAAACCAAGAAAGCCAAGCTTTCTAAGGCCAGATGGTGACACGATGGTTAAACACACTCTTTAAGCCAGTTCCACATGGGAAGATTTCAAGTTCAAGTCTGGAGACTTCCCTGAGTATGCCAGGCATGCTCTTGTCTGCGATGAGAGGCTAGCTGAAGGCTGAGGGTAGATCACAGCATTAAGATCCTGGTGGGGGATGGGACCAGCAGTTAGTGTAATGGCTATGTCTCTGGACTCCCATGTAGTCAGCCGCGGTTCGAGTCCCTGACCCAGTGGCTTAAACTCATGCCAGGCGTGTGTGAGTACGTGCCCAAGATCCCGAGAGGAGAATGGAGAAGGGATTGTGGCATGGCCAGCCCCTCTGGGGGGTGATTTCTCGCTGTCTGTCTCTCTGTCTCTCTCTGTCTTTCTGGAGAGTGCATATGCCCTATAGCTAAAAACTTCTCAAAAAAAAACAAAAAACAAAAAACGATCCTGGTGGGGGGTGCTCTTGCTCTCTCTCTTTAGAAATACATGAATATATAAATGTTAAAAATAATATCAAGCTTTTACCAAGAGAAAAGACTTCACATTGTATTAAGACTTTAAGGTAAAAAGCTATATATTCTGTATAAATGTCTTCTTTGTAAAAAATGTGACTCATTTAGTGGCTTCAAAAACTGCTAGATTTTTTTCTTTGTTGAGCTCTCTGTGGAGTTTCAAGTAGAAATGAAGAAGCCTGAAGAAAATTCCTTCATGTTAGAAGAAAAATTAACAACAATAAAAAAGGTTACCTTTAAATTGTATTTTAAATTTTAGTTTAACTGCTTTCTATGGAAGTGACTGTCTTCAAGGACATTCATTTCAGAAGATGAAGGAAGCATGATTCCATGATAAAAGGCCACAAAGGCTGGAACATCAGAGATTCTATGACAATGTCCATGGAAGTGTAATCACACGGGTATGACTTACTAGGGTTCTGATTGGTTGTGTTGGAGTGCTGATTTCAAATTGCATTGGTTTCTAATAGTCTGCCCTTACTGTTATTTTCATTTCTGAGAGAGAGGATTTTTTTTTTTCTCTTTTTGCTATAAGGTGCATGTGCTTGCCAGAGAGACAGAGAGATACAGAGAGACAGAAAGCAAGAACCCTCCAACCCACACCTCCCAGGATGGATGGCCATGCTGGAATCCCTTCTCCTCCTGGGATCTTGGGTACGCATGCACATGCACCCAGCATGATTTTCAAGCTACCAGGTTCAGGACTTGAATCGTGGTCAGCCATGTGGGAGTTCAGCAATGAAACCGCTATGCCATCTACTGCCCCTCAAGATTAATTTCTAAGAACTCTCAAGTACTTCGAGGTTGATAGATCCTTAGACTTGTAACACTGCCTCCTATTACTTTATGTTCTCTACTCACAAAAGAAATTTTTGGATACTACACAGAGGGGACAATCTTTCCAATGCCACATTTCACTGGAAGTTCTAAATTCACATTTGCCAATGGCCTGTGTGGGAAAGGAGTTTCTCCTCTATAAGTTGTTTCCTAGTATACAGTGTGAGCCAATACAACTCATATTATCCAAACCATTGCTGAGGGAAGATGAGCTCACTAGGGCAGAACAAGCTGATCCTCTTACCTAAAAGATGCTTTTCTATCTTCCGGTTCTTGGTATTTGTCCATCTATACACACTTCCAACTAGAGATAAGTATGAGACACTGATAGTCACTTTTGGAATAAGATTTTGAATTTCAAAGTGTATGTATAATTTTTCCCCCTTTATTCATGATAGAACATGTGCTTGTGCAAGACAGAGAGAGACCTTTGAAGAGTCTGGTCATGTTGCAATCCCCTTCCTCCAGTCTTCCAACCCATCATATCATGAGAACTTGAGAGTGTGCTGAGTGTATTTCAGGCTGATCAGGCTGGGGACTTGAACTGTGGTCACCTTGTGGAATCTGTCTTCTCCTTGAGCAGTGTACCCATTGTGCCACGAAGCTGGCCCCTGTACATAGTCTTCATGTGTGTGAGGCTAATACAAGTTTAGCCATGTCGTCTTGGTCTCCTGTCGTCAGATTTGCCTGCAGGCTTCTGATCTGTTTCCACTATAGTCTGGATCCTGTCCTCCTTCTACCACGTATAGGCTGTTTCAAACCAGGGCAGAGAGTAAATGCGCTCTCCCCCTGGCTCTGTGGCCAGAGTTTTTTCCTAGAGAACAAGGCTGATCCTTCCTTTGTGGACTTGTACAGCTGAAGGCTGATTTGCTCTTCTTCATTCTATCAGAGTCCCAGGCCTTGATCTCTTATGTGCTTAATCCTGTATTTGCTGAAGGAAGGAACAAGTACACACACTAGCCGCTCAGGTCAGTCTCCCACCCCTCCCCTGAAGGGACTCAAGGGGTACGATTTATAGCCACCCAAGAGAAATGTTTTAATAAAATATCTCTAGAAAATCAAATTTCAAGTCATCTCCAATCTACTACATGCCATTTTGCCTTATTGTGGGTAGAGTACATTCATTCTTCATGGTGGATGAATCATAAGTTAAGATAATTTAAAACAGTTTAGCCATGAAAATTCCTGCAGCATGTGCAGAACTAGATTAAATTTAAGGCAATAATAATTCCCTGACAGGAGAAAATGAATATATTCATCACGGTATTTCATTTGAAAAGTAATTGAGTCACCATTTGTATTCACATTACCAGCTGAACATTGTAAAACTAAATTAAAAACTATGGGATTGTAAGATGGTTTCTGAAAAGTCTATTTTAATTGTCAGATTTAAATATGAGACTTTGCATCTAAAATAAATTGTTCTTTCAAAAGTAAGAAAGTACTACATTTATGAAAACATGAAAGTAATAGATTTATGGAAACTTTTTTTTATTATTGTTAAACAGAGGTATTGCATCCTGTCCTTAAATCTTAACTAAAAAGTTTTGGAACAAAATGTCTTTACATTATTTCTATTAAACCAAATTTAGGAACACAACTCACCTAGAGCATAAGCCTCAGTGTATAAAAAAATGTATTTGATTTTCTTTTAGAGAGAGATTTTTCCTATAGTGCAGAGAGAGACAGAAAAACAGAAAGCAAGAAATCAACCCCCAGGGTGGATGGCCACACCAACAATCCCTTCTCCTGCATGCTCCTCTCAGCGTTTTGTTTTTTTTTTTTTTTTCTTTTTTTTTTTGGAGAGATTTTCACTGTAGGGCGCGTGCGCTCGCCAGACAGACAGAGAGAGACATAGAGACAGAAAGCGAGAAATCACCCCCCAGGGGGGATGGTCACGCCGCAATCCCTTCTCCTCCATTCTCCTCTCGGGATCTTGGGCACGCACGCACACGCGCCCGGTGTGAGTTTTAAGCCACCGGGTCCGGGACACGAACCGCGGTCGACTACGTGGGAATCCAGCGACATAGCCATTACGCTAACTGCTGGTTCCCCTCCTCTCAGCGTTTTGAGCATGCACGCACGTGCACCCAATGTAAGCTTTAAGCTACTGTGTCCGAGACTCAAACTGCCATTGACTATGTGGGGATCCAGTGACATAACTATTACGCCATCTGCTGGTCCCTAAACGTTTTTTTGATAACTGACTTCTACTTCAGTCCCAAATCTACCCGTCATACTTAATTTCAGAAGTCCTGGAAAAATTCAGTCAAAGCAAGGTTTTCTTCATCGATTCTGGGATTCTTTCTTCATCAGCGCTTATGGACCATCTGGAGTCAGGAGAAGGGGTTTGTGTTACCCTCATATACAGAGGCTGGAGGCAGGGTCCACAGTGTCCTGGCTGGCATCTCTTCTCATAAAAACACCGCCTTCATCTGTGCTAGCTCTGTTAAGTTTCACACGCCTAAGGCTGGAACATTTCTGTGCCTTTATCCTTGTTGCAGCTGATCAGAGACTTTAATTACTTTGGTCC